TGGGGGAGGAAGTGGTTGAATGTGCCCCCTCTCTCCCCTCTATAAGAGCAGTGCTTTTGCACCGGTGCTGGGACCAGGCATTGGGTTGCGTTTGCTCTCCAGTGTTTGTCTTGTTTGAATTATTGCTGGTTTGGCCTTCCTATCTTAAGTAAAAAGTGCTCCTGATCCTCTTTGGATGCCTAAGTCTTGCACTGTGCTTAAAGGTCTTCAGTTCTCATATATCTAGTCATTGCTCTAAACTTGCATTGTCTACCTTCGATACACTTGTTACCTTCAATGCGCTGTCTTCTGCCCTGGGGCTTGCCAAAAACCTCACAGCTTGCAACTGCACTGAAGCAGCTGCATGGTTCTGCCTGTTGCTTGTGGTGCTCTGCCCTGCCATTCGGAGACTGGCCTGAGCACAAAGACCCAGATGTTGTGCTCTTAGCTGACAGCTCACTGCAATTGTTTACAGTTTAGACTACACGTGGTGACCCACATTTCCCATGAGCTGTACCTGTAGACTGCTCAAAATCTTTGTGCTCATGATCCCACCAAATACCTCTTGCTGAATGATGTTCCACAAATGACAGGCATGAGAGCCAGTGGTGCAGCATGGCTTGCAGTATGTCCACGACTGTCTCACAGAGCTTCTGGTCTGCTTTAAAAGTGTCTGACAAAATTTTGTTTCTCTCTGCCTGGAATTTGTAGAACATCAGGTATTTTGTATGTCACATCTAAGCACGGGTCTCCTTTTGAGAAGCTGTAAATCACTAATCCTGTAAAGTAGGTTGAGGCAGTAAAGGCAAAGAGGAGGAAAAAAAACCACAAAGAAAAAACCCACCTCGTTGTTATACACAGTCTGCATATCTCCAGGTTACATTATGGTACTTTGGCCTGAGGGACACTGCGGGAGTGGCATCATTGGTGCATAGCACAAGAAATTTAGAAAAATTCAAAATATATGGAGAAGACAAGGCAGCAACTTCCTTTTTTAACACTACTTTTGTAAGGTAGCCGGGCCTAGCACAGCACAGACCTTAGCACTTAATCAGCTTTCTGCCATCATGGAAGTTGGAAATCCAAAGGCAAGGTTTTTTGATAGGATGGAGGCTTTTCTTGGAACCCAACCCTTGCTGTAGTGTTAGAGGCGCAGAAGTTTGGGAAACATAGCAACTTGCAGAGTGCCAGTCAGGTCCTACAGTCATTTCTGGAGAGCTTTGCCTGGAATTAGGGAATAGCAGTGCAACAGTGCAATATCATAATGAAGGATGGTGGAAATAAAGATAGACCATGAACGTGTTTCTTCAGACTAGTGCTGTGCCAACACAACACTGCTGCAAGGACACAGACAGCATCCAAAATCCACAGAGACCAACTCACTTCTGGTTCTGGAACCAGTTTATTCCTTGGGATCTCCAGGCAGTGCTGCACACTGTGGTGTGAACATGTCCTCAAGCTCTCTAGTGATCAGGTGTGTGCGGCAGGGGTTAGTGTGTAGAGAAGAGCTTGGAGGACGTTAGAGTTAGATCCATCTTCCACAGACTTGCTAAGGCGTAATTCTGTAAGTGGTACCATTGCAGAACTTCTGAAAGAAGTTGAGTGGATCTCACTGATAACCCAGCATCTGCATTGCCAGAGAATGCAACAGGAACCCAAATAAACTGGAAGCTTTGATGTCCAAGTTCAGGTAAATGGAGAGTTACTGATTGAATCTCTTAGTGATTCGGTGGTGGTGGTGTCAGATAAAAAAAATTAATTTCTGGTTACAAGAAAGCTTTGTGGAGAAGTAGTAGTGTGCTATTCCAGATGTATCTGATGGGTAGTGCTGGGCTTTGTGTTGGTGCTCGTTAGGGAAACTGAGAAGTGGAATGCTGGGTTTAAGGAGGCTAGCTGGTAGGGTGGAGTTAGAGAGCTTGGGCTGTGGAAGACGTGGATGGGGTAGCGTGTTACGGAGGATTTCCTAAGAGTATGGCGCAAACCTATGAATAATTAAAGGAGGTGATTGACTGACTTACTACATTTGCAGTTTGGAATGCATATTTTCCTCCTGCGAGCTTCTTGTGCACTCTCTGACTGGAATGCTGTTTCTTGAATGCTTTGCATGACTGCGATCTCAGCAGTACTGCTCAGGCACTCCTCACCTCTTCTTCAGCAGCTCTGATATTTCGCTGACATCAACTGCACACACATGACACGCTTTCCCACTATGCATATCCTGACTCTTCTGAGTAGTTTTCCTTCTCCATGGGGCCATACAGTAGTTATATTTGAAGTGTTCTTGTGTACCTAATACTATTTTCTGTTTTGGTTGCTGTCATTATATTATTTTATTTTTACATTCAGTTGTACATTTATTTATACAATGTTTTGGAGGTTAAAGTCCTTAACATTTTTATTTTTATGTACTATGCTTTCAGTGTTATAACCATACAATTGTGGCTTCTCATGGTGACATATGACTGCTATGAATGTTGGGCCTTTGCAATGCATTTTGGAGGTCACTACTACACATTTGATGTTTAGGAGGTTGACAGGTATGGCTGTAGGTAAGTGGTGGTTGTGGAGAGTATTCTGTGGGTGAGCTATGGGTTATGGAGAGTGCCTCCTACGCTGTAGAGAAGAGCTGTACGCTTAGTGGAATATTTAGCATTAATGGAGCACTAGGACAATAGAAGGAAGATACCAGCAAAGATTAATAGAGCTTCTGGACTGTGAAGAGGAGCACCTTGGTAGTATTTACATTTGGGAGGAATTTCTCCAGTGCAAGCTGGTAGGTTGATAAAGTGTTTTCTAGGTAAATATAAAACTCAGAGCTATAACCAAGAAGTTAAGTGAAAAACCAGGGTAATTACTCACTGGTGTGTTCTGGGCGAGGGGTAGATTGTGTCAATAAACAAGAAGTTACAGGATGTCTCTGATACAAATATCACCTGATAGACACTATGATACAGTGTTTCTGAATGACATCTAGTTCCTAGGAACAAGGAATAGACGTGGACCCACCTGGGTGTCTCTGTTACAGTGCTAAGATGCTCATGGACTTTGGTTATGAACTTACAGTGGGTACAAGAACATCTCTGAATCCTCTCATCCAACATAATTTTAGAAGGGAAAAGAGGTTTTATGGTTGCACTTTACACTTGATACTCTTTGTCCCTTTGTGTGTTAGAAAGCACAGCAGGCAAACTGCAGTTGAAGTAGTACAAGGCTTACTGGATCATATTTGTTCTCAAAAACATGGTTTAATTTTTTTTCTGTACATATTAGGAAAGAGATCCTGAAACAGGAGTATGAAGTAGAGGTGAGAAGTGTGGTTTTCACATGTAGCAGCCCAAGTGAAAAGTCCCCATCTCAGTCTTGATGCTAAAATCAGCAAATGTGCAGGGAGGTGATTTGAATGTCCATGTGGGAATGTGGTGCTGTTTGGACTGACAGTGCAGAAACTATATACAAAATGTGGATTGTATTTAATGGTGATGCCGTTTTAAAAAATCTTAATTTGTAATATAAACGCACAGATGCAATGTAAAACCTATAACGTCCACAGTGCAATGTACAGCAGAGTGTTTTAAGATAAGCATGTAGAGGCCAGTCTAATTAAAGGAAGGTCTTACTAAGATTCCAGATGTAAAAAAAAAAAAATGGCTGCAAAGGGTTAAGTCACCATTTTTTTCAGTCTTCTCTCTCATCCCATTTTGATTTTTTTTGTCATGTTATGAAGTTATTATTAGAACAAGAGAACGAGAATTCCAAATTAGTGAAGTGAAACAGCGTCACAGCTCCAAGATTGGGAGGCTCAGAGCAGCCTCTGAGCGAATCGGGATCTTTCTAGTACTTGCACAGGAGGGGAGAGGCAAGTAGTAAAGGTTAAAGCTGGGTCTGGATGTGCAGATGCTGAATGCCACTGCACTCAGTTGCAACTCATTATCACATATGAGTCTTGACATTAATTTTGTCATCTGCCTGCAGGCAGTAATTAGAATGGGCTGCTGTGAAAAATGAGGAGGTCTCATTTGGGTCTGGGAGTGATCACAACATTGATCAAGACATTGATTGGCTGACTGTGAAGTAGTGCTGTTTTAACTGACAAACAAGAGTCACAGAATAAAATCCTGACAGAGCCTTGAAAACCTCCCATGTTTTTCAAGAGGTGGTATTACAAGAAATGGGGCTGTAATGTCTGTAAAACTGGGAGCCATTTGTGCGCATTTCACACTGGGAATCCATCTCCTATGTTAATTTGTCAGCTTCTGATTTTTGAATTCTTGGGTCTTGTCGTCCTGTCATTTGGAAGTGGAGAGACCACACCTGTTTCTCCTGTGTTGTCAAGCTGGACCCATGCCTGGCTAGCTTCTGCATCAGGTGGTATGGGGACATAGGTCTCCTGTGCTAGCAAAGTCAGACCATCCCGGCTTGGTACCTGCTTTGCTTCTGCAGTTTAGTGTCAAAACCACTCATCTCTCATCAAGATTGTGTTGATAGCTTCCAGTAATGATGTCATCCAAGACCTCTAAGAGGCCACTTCAGATCCTTCCCAAGGAATATCCATGTTACCTGCCAGTCTTGGGAAGTGCTGGCTTGGCTTTCTGCAAGTACCAAGCCCTTCAGCTTCCACTGTAGTTGGTGTGAGCTGCGGGTGCTTTCCACCTATGATAAGGCCACCTTTCCTGAGCTGCATGACGAAGAGATCACATGCTGATGTGATTTGCGAAGAACAATGTTTAGTAGTGAAAGAGAAAGTATATCAGTCTTTTCACAGCAGGAAAAAAAATCTTTTCAGAGCAGGAATTTGCTTGCTGAGTTCAGCACGAGAACTCACTGCTTTGTTGTGGTTGCAGAGCCTAGTGTCACCAGCAAGCGCTGGACATGTAACGGGTGCAGTGAGCAAGACTCATTCTCCATAACGCTTTAAGGCAGCCATACACCAGCAAACTGGAGATAAATTGAAATGTATAGCTGTGCTTTTCCCTTTTTGTTCTTCCCCCACCTTGTAATTGCCGTAGTGCCCCCAAGATGAAATGTCCGAATCTGGGCAGTCCTCAGCAGCTGCCACACCGAGCACCACTGGAACCAAGTCCAACACTCCCACATCATCTGTGCCCTCTGCTGCCGTCACACCCTTGAACGAGAGCATCCAGCCCATCAGCGAATACAACGGCACGACCAAGAGCAATAAGAGGGCACGAGAAAAGCGGAACAGCAGGAACATGGAAGTCCAGGTCACGCAGGAGATGAGGAATGTCAGCATAGGTATGGAAGGTGAAGTGTGGGTTGCTCATTAAAGTAATTGACTTTCCAGTGCTTGTGTCCCTCTGTTAGAGGAAGAAGCTGGGAGACATCAGCTTCATAAGTGTATAATTTGAGGTAGCCTTACTTAGATACGTGAGCAAGACAGGGCTAATTGGATGCTAGCAGTTTTCAGGGTAGCAAATTTTTAAACTGTCAATAATAGGAATAATTTCACAAATACACAGGATGGAAATAGGTTACTGAGTTCAGTCCTCTGTAGTTGCTTTCATCCGTGTCATAGAACCTCTTTCATGAACAGTCAAGTCCCATCTTAGACTTACTGAGCTTTTGGTAAACTGTTTCTGGACCTCATCGATATGATAGTTAAAAGCTTCAATTTAGTTTTCTCTCCAGATTTATTTGTAAGTATTTTGTATCCAGTTGTTCATATGCCAAATTTGTCAGTCAGCATTAAATAATTATTTTCCCTTCTGTGTGTTTATACCACACCTTGATGTGTTTAAGATTAGCTATTATATCCAGCTGTTTTTCTCAGCTAAGTAAGCTGTTTTCTTTTTGTCTGTTTCTTGTATAACAAACCCCCCCACATCTTTGGAAGTTACAGTGGTTTTCACTTCCCAGAGTCTTTTAGTAATGTGAATTAGTGATTTCTTGTCAGGAAAACCATCACCTAAGCTGTTAGCACCAGGGTGTTTAAATAAAGAAAATGGTGTAGTAACATGGTAAAAGCCCCTTTCTGTGCTTTTTAATATAGCTGTGCCGATGTAGTATGTGAGCTACTCCCAGCCCGTATCGTATTTAGACTTGCAGCAGCCTTCAGAAGTGAGAAGTGGATTGTTTTACAGGTCATGAACTTATATACAAAAGGACTGTAAAACCAGCTGAAGATCATAAGGAAAGTCTGTGCAGAAGCACAGGGAGGTGTGTAGGTCTCAGAGGTGATCATCTGAACCAGATCATCATCTTTTGTTGCTAAATAATACAAAGGAGGTTCCTCTACTAAAATTCACAAGCTGGTTCCTAACAAATTAAGACTATAAACCAATATGTAACATCTTTTGCTATAGCATTTTAATGAGAATTGTGGTGACTGAGTCCCATTCTGTATTTATATTAGCAGCTAGGGAGGTGCCAGGGTCACAGATGTCAATCTGCCAGAAACTAGTGTAGTTCTCCATGAAAGCTTGTGGCTTCTGCATAGCCAGCTGTTAAATTGTGATCTATTCAGTGATCCTGGCCAAGGCAAGTCAGTATAAGCATTGGTATCAGAGAAACTGAGCACGGATGTTGGTAGGTCAAATGCCTTGTAAATACTAATCCTTATTTTTGCAGTTGCTGCTTCACAAGCACTTTTACTATCAGTAGCTTTCTTGGGTCAAAGTCTGCTCTCTTCTGTATGTGTGCAACGCTGAAGTCATGCATGTGAAAGCTTCTCTTTTCTTGACGGAAGTATCATATTGTAGAATCTGCTCAAGGCAAATAGTTGTATCTTTCCTATGTGCTCTGCATATTCAACCTTTCAGCGTTCACACGTAATGCAAAATCAGATCTCCATGCTGAGGAGAAACACAGATACTTGAATTTTAATTATGTATTTTATGCATCTATAATTAAAATGTCTATCAGTGATGCACATGCCTTAGAGCTGAACTGCCAAAAAGAGGTACTCAAAGGTATTTGCAGAAAAGCTTCCCAGCTTGAATAAATAAAGAAAAGGAAGGCTCTGTTTCTGTGAGTTTGAGAATCACTGGTGTACGGATGCCTACTTTGGCAACAGATACAGATCACACTTTGTCTTCAAACATGGCATTTGTTGCCAACTGTTGGACAATGCCAGCCTGAGAGAATAAAATCAACACTCAAGTTGTCGTGGGCTTTGTATATTTGGCTACTGAGGCTGTTTGGAAAGGTCAAAAATTTCACATTCCAACGCTGTCGAGGGACTGATGTAGTTTACAAATTAGGTCTTTAATACTTCAAGAATTTTTTGTGTGAACAGACACTGTGTTCATATTACTTGTTTAGAATAGGTGCAAGCCTGAGCATTTGAACAGTTTGGTATCCAATAAATGTGACGTGACAAGAGGAGGAAATTCCTTATCCTTGAAATACTGACTTCAGTCTGTAGAATATACAGAAAATGGAGTAGATTTCATGTATCACCTTTTAAGTGAAATTTTACTATAATGGGTATCTAAAGCAGTTGTAGACTTGAGATTTTGTATTGAAAAATTATTTCTGTTAAAACTAAGTAGTGCAAATTCGTAAGTACAGTAAGCTCTGTGAAGCTACACAGAAAATCACTGCGTTGTCTTCGATCTCAGCTAAAGCTGAGTGGTGATTGAAGAGTTTTTACTGACATAAAAAGTTGATTTGGAATTTATTTTAATGGATGAAGTATTTCTGGTTATCACATTTTAATGAGGATCCAGGCCAATGACCATGGTGACGCTCAGGTATGGTGGCAGGGAGGGGATGCTTATGGTCTTCCTGCTCTGGAATTGTGAGGGCACCTTCACAGCACTGGTGCAGTTGTAACTCTGGATAATCAGCCACGTTCAGTTCGTATTTTAAGACTTTGAACATGACACCATGAAGTTTTGAAACCTTGATATTGAAAGCTGCAGAAGTCTGTTAAAGGAACACCATTCTGTGAAAGTCCTGATGCTATAGAGCATATATATTGTCTTACCTAGGAATGGGCAGCAGTGATGAATGGTCCGATGTTCAGGACATCATAGACTCTACTCCAGAGCTGGATATGTGTCAAGACCCTCGCCTGGAACGTGCTGGTAACAGGTATTGATTATGACTTTTCACTGTGTGCACTTTCGCTTGGTTTTATAAGAAGTGAGGAATGGATGCCGTGGCTTACACTGAGTTCAAGAGGCAGCTGTGTGAGAAAGTCCATGTGTTCTGCCTAGTGTGAATACAACGGGTCTTGACCTTCTTTGAGTTCTCCAGAGAAGGCAAATGTCTGCTGGTAATCTGCAGAAGGATCTGTCCAGCCGACCCAGAAGTGGGGTTGTTTGCCTTGCTAGAGCAGGGAGGACAGAGATGGAGCAAGAAAAGGTTAAAGACAGGCAAATGTGACATGAGCTTAAGCTAGTTGATAGTAGCTTAGAAAGAAGAGGAAAGAAGAGGAAAAAGATGCATTTGTCCAGTAAGAGGTCAATTCTTATTTCAGTTTTAAAACCTCAGTCTTTTTTCAGTTTTAAAATTTTCAAGTGTTTGAGCAGCAGGAGCAGGGCTGCTCCATGAGGGAGGACAAGCAGTAGTAACCCCAGCAATCCCAGTCGTGCAGGTTCTGAGCAGAGAGGGCAGATCACTGCTAACCAGCTCCACCAGCAGCCCCAGACAAGGCAAGGGGATGAATTAGGTCCTGGTGCTACCCATGAGCAGCAGGAGTCAGGACTGAAGAACGGGTACACCTACAGAGTAGCTCAGAGGAGGGCTGAAGGCACAGGCCCAAGGTTAAAGGGAGCCATTGGACCAGTGGATGAGTGCAGGTCCCAGGTGAGGCTGGTGAGAGCAATTTTGACCCATCACTGCACTCAGGACTGGAACGGAGTCCTCTGAATTAGCAGACTTTTACTGAACTTCTCTGCTGGTCTGGTTCCTAGCCATTACCCATTTTGTGCTAAATAGGGGGGTCCCTAAAGGCTATTAATTTTGGCACCATAGTTCTGTGAGGCATGTATTAGTCTAGAATTATTAGTCTAGGTACCTTGATTCATTTTTACTAAGGTCTGGTGGTTAGTTTTATAGGATTCGTTATTTTTTACCCTCATCCAGTGGGTAATTTGGTACTACACAAGCAGAAATAACCCCCTAGCTCTTAGAGGTATGCAGAAGATAATACCCTGAAAAATTAAGGCAAGATATTCTCACAGGCCAAATCTGGACTGGGTTCCCGCTGTTGAGCACCCTCATTGAGAAGGGTGTGAGCAGCAATAACAGATGCGTTTCTCAACTGTGAAACTACATACAGTTAAGCTCCCCTCAGAATATGTAGGATGCATGGCCAGTTTTTAGGGTCAGATGCAGGAGGAATCTAGGTAGCCAAAACAGCTCCATGTGGGGAAGACAAAAGTGACTGATGAGATCAGATTGAAAATTGGCCAAAGCCAAGGAAAGGAAGGGAGCAGAGATGATTGCTGCACTGAGAGCTTTTCAGGCAGTGATCTGTGATCCAGGTAGTGAGACTGAAAGCTACAGGAGACCAAAGCTAGCTCTGGAGCTGCTGAACAGTGCGCTTGCTGCTTTGACCTGAAGTTCGGTCTTCAGGTCAGGTGCTGAGTGTTGATTGCTTAGTGTCGCTTGTGCTGTCCGTTAGACTGTGGGAACTGATGAATTCTGGTGCAGTCACGGCACCCATTTGTAACTCCTCAGTGCTCTCACGTGTCTGGGTAGCTGTATTTTTTCTGTAATTGAAAAAAACGCATTATCTTTTTGCTTTTTCTGCAATGTGTTGTAACTCTGCAATATCAGAAGCAGCTACTGTACCCCATGTGTAACTTCCAGGCTCTATCAGCAGGACTTCATTTATCTGAGAAAGAAGCCACATAATTGAGATAATCTCCAGAGGTACTGGCCTTTCTGTTAGACTGCTGGAAAAATTGCACAGCCTCTTTTCATGCTGACTGATTCCCCTTATACGAGGCAGGGCACTTAAAAGTGTTCATACCCACATTAAGATCGTTCTGTAGAGCAGGCAACAGCAATCCCAGAGGCTGCATCACCCTCACCTCCTGTAACAGCTATTTTCTGTTTCAGCCATGAGACTGTCAAGAAATGCAAGAAGATTTTTGATGGTACCAAAGATACTAAGAGGTGGAAATGTGCTTCCATCTGATACGATTCAAAAACATTAACTTTGATTTACCTTTAATGAAATACTTTTTGTGAAGATGCGTTTTGGCGCATAGACTCACCCAAAGAAGAAGCTAACCCTTTGTGCTCATTTCACTTACTGGTTGGTAGGGAAGAAAGACCATTGCTGTTTTCAACATTTGAGTCCCTTATCTGATCTTACGGCCATCTGAGGTTGCTATCTAAACTGCTAGGAATGTGGGAATCCTTGCAGAGTCTGGGAAGTGGGAGCTGAGAGCTTCTACAAGTTGAAGTTTTTCTATGAAGTATTGAATAGTCATTAACTGTTATGATTTAACAGGAACTCAGCTAGCCGAGCTTTGAGGTTGTGTATGGTAGGTAATTGTCCTTGATACGGGGAATAAAACATGCTTTTTTCTTGTTATACGACATAACTCAGTATGTTCTCTGAATCAGCCCATGGTGAACAAGTGGAGTGCGCTCTCAGGGTTTTGATCGCAGTGGTCTGGGATGCTTAGTATTTCAGAGGCAAATGCTGTAGCTTAAATGTTACCAAGTAACAAGAATCCTTGCTTGTTTTTTTTACTTCCAATAACAGCCCGACACAGGGGATTGTGAACAAAGCATTTGGCATCAACACAGACTCTCTGTACCATGAACTTTCCACAGCAGGATCCGAGGTTATTGGAGATGTTGATGAAGGAGCAGATCTGCTAGGTAAAAACTTGTTTAGAACCTTTCTGTTTTCTCTGGTGCAATGACAACTATATTAAGCTTCTAGAAGCACTTAAATTATCTGGTGGGGTTTTTTTTCAGAACTTGGATATTTAGCTTTTAAATATGGCATGGAAATTGAGATATTATGTGACTGAAATATGTACCTGCAGTATAGTAATGTTTACTTAGAAGAAAACTGTTGGGTAAATTTGATTTGGGTTGTCTTTATCCGCTTAAGTTATACTTTTCTATCGGATTCTCCCACACGAACAGTTTGAAGACAAAATTTGCTCCTTCTGCTTTCTCCCCCCCAGTAATTTTACGCACTAGCAGTTTCACTTGGAATAAAAGGTTTGTTTGAAATTTGCAAGAAATTAACTCCTTTTGTTAAGTTTTTGAAGTTTAAATTGTGTGGAAATATTACGGTCTGTATTGCAGTTATTATCCTTTTATAGTCAGTCTAAGAGACGTAGTAATTCACGTTTTAGGCTGATTTTGAAGGAGCTTGTAATATCTGAAGACTGATTATATTCTGTATTCCAGACTAGGACTTGGAGAAGTCAGAGAAGCATCTTTGCCTCAGGTAGCAGTCTGAGCCTTTGCCATACTCTTTGGTGTTGGACTCTTGAATATCTAGACCTTAATTTGTGACAGAGTTTAAGCACATTCTTAAGTCCTGCTGACTGTTTTCCTGAATCAGGACGAGTGGTCTTTGAATGCTCAGACAACATGGGCCGCTAACAAAGTTTGTAACTGTGTAGCTCACTTTCTATTTTACTGCTTGATTTAAGGAGCCTTAGGAGACAGGAGGACTCCAACAATATGCCTTTTATGTGTTTGGTAACAAGAGATCTGATCTGAAGGTGTACATTTCCCTTATGGTGATTACTGATGCAAGAGCTGCTTGTGGATACTCCTGCAAGTTTGGGTGTTGCGAACAAGATGAGCTGAATCATGTCACAGATTGTAGCAGCTCACCTTTGTAGAAGTTAAATTAGTAAGATACTTGTATCACCTGTGAATGAGTCTTGTATCAGGACCCTATAAAAGGGTATGTTTCTGCAGAGATGAGGTTTTACCCTTTTCACTGAAGACTTAAAGGTGAAGATGTGGACTGAAGACTGGAAAGGAAGTTAATGCAATACTTCTTGCTTTATCAAAGACAAAAATCTGTGAAATTGTTACTATTACAGGCAATAGTGTGACTGGAATGTAAGAACAAGATCCAGGCTATCATCAGAACACTTGCAATACCTTTTTGGTATGGATAGTTTTGTTTTTTTCTAGAGGCATGATGCTAGCCCTGCAACATGCAGGAGAGCTCTCGTGCGTGGATTGATGACCATTGTCTGAAGTATTAAAACATCTATTGTTTCACCTCCAATTCAAGGTTGCTGGAAGAAAAAAATCTACAGAAGAGTCAAGATTAAAGCACAGGCTTTCTCTGCCTGCAGTTGGAGTCAACGTGTGCAGATACTTATCAAATGAAGAATTTAGAAGGAAAAGCAAGATTTCCAGGTTTGAGAATCACCTGGATGTTAGCAGTCTTTGCAGAAGGGCTGGGACTCCTGCTTAAAGTGAAGATGACAGCAGGAACTACATGTGACGGTTAAAACTTCATCTACCTGCTGTGGAATGAATTTTGGTTAGCCAGCCCCCATGTTACCGAGAACCCTCTTCCTAGCAGAATCAAAGCATTAAAAACACTGACAGTCTTGCCATTGCCCATCTGTTTTATCTCGGTCCTCAGGTGCTTCCTTATCTAAGAGAGTGTATGGTTGATTTTATGTTTTATCTTCCACTAATCACTGTGCCAAAGCAGCAGCTTTCCTTCTCTCCCTGCAATGGCTGGGGCATCAGGGATTGTCAGCTTCTAAGAGTTACCGTTCAGGACAATGATTTGCTTGGTGCATGAACTGCTTCAGACAACCTGTTTCCCACTTCTGGAAGTCTGCCTTCTGGGAATCCACTTCCTCTGTGGAATAACCTCTAGTCTGACCCAGTGGTCAGTGAGAAATGCAGACTGTTGTTTTCAGAGGGCCAGATTTTAGTTGCCCAAACATTGCAAGGTTGATCACCACAGTTTCAGTTAAAATCAAACGTGCTTCATGTCTTGCAGTAGTAAGGCTGTCCGAAGACCAGTAATTGATTTTGGGTTGTGAGACATCTGTTACTTGGCAGTTACCACTTGTAATAAAATGTACAGAGACTTAATTGAACAGCGCCGGTGTTAAGTCTGGCTTATGAAGAGTGCATTTATGTGCTGGGGCAATTTTCCGGTTTGAGCAGAGCAGCAAAACTCTTGCAGGTGATCACTTGGCAGGCTAGCAGAATAGGAAAGCTTCTCCTGGTTCCTTTTCAAATCCGGCAGATGGGCTGTGATGAAATCAGGTTGTTCGATGAATTTCCTGTGAGAAATGTTAATCTAATTAATCCTTTTGTTTAGTTCTGGCTACTGAGTCTGTCCCCATAAAAGTGAAATGAACACACACGTTGCCAGGATTGTACAAAGGGATGAAGGCAGAGAGAGATCTTGGAGGTCATGCCTCTGACCAAGAAATGAGAGTGATACTTATTTTTTTGGCTTTCCTCATTACAAAGCACTAAGAAAGTCTGGTAAAGGTGGAAGCCAAAGGCTAAATCTTAGTACTAAGAAATCTGTCAACATTATCATAGAATCATAGGTTGGAAAAGACCTCTAAGATCATCAAGTCCAACCATCCGCCCAACACCACCATGCCTGCTAAACCATATCCCAAGTGCCACATCTACACGTTTTTTAAACAAGTCCAGGGATCGTGACTTAACCACCTGCCTGGGCAGCCTGTTCCAATTATTCAAAATTTTGTCTTTGTTGTTACATAAATTGTTCTCTCTTCCTGGCGTACCTTTGAGTCTGAAGAGCTGCAGAGGAAATTGTGCTTTATGGATGGATGTTAGAAACAAGATCCACAAGCCAAAAGAGTTCTCTTTCTGGGTCGTATTTGGAGCTCACTTCTCTCTGCAAATCAAAAGAATTAATGAAGTTTTTCCCACCTAAGTGAAATTTGAATACTTCCTCTAGTCTCTCTCAAAACTTGGCAATCAATCTTCAGAGAATATTCTCAACTTTTGGACTTGGTTTCTTAAAGAAAGAGAAATCTCATTAAAGAGGACTTCAAAATAGAAGGATCTTACAGAAATTACCCTTCAGCAGTAGCTGGCAGGCAAGTCTGTTTCTTGAATGGAAAATCTCATGCATCTGGATATCTGCAAAGCGACCGACATCTCTTGGTATAAAAATGGCACTCTTCATTTCATTTTTTTACTATAAAATAATAAATAAAATATGTGGAGTTCCCCTGCTGCCTCTAATACTGCTTTACATACAGGAGTTTCTATAGGAAGCATTCTGGAGAAAAATGCAGAATGAGAACAATTACTACCACTACACTAGTAGTGTAGTTGTAGTTCGTACACTACTAGTTTGGTCTACAACTACACTAGTGGTAGTTGTAGACCAAATTCCCTTCTTTCTCACTACAGCCTTAGGAGCACTGGTTGGTTGTTTTCCTGCGTATTCAGTTGTTAATTGCAGGTTCTTACCTCCGGATCCTGGGTAGGCTCCCCCTTCTCCCATCTCCGCCTTCCAGCTCTTCCCTGTCCCAAGAGTTTCTGGATGCAAAGGAGCACGAGGAGTTTGGTTGTGTGCCATGGGCAGGTCCTTCCTTTCAGTTTTAGGATGCCCAGCTGTGTTTGCTTTGGAGATTAAAACCTCCCTTCAAATAACAGGGTTTTTTTGGTGGAGACAGAAATACAGCCATATTAGTGGTAAGTTTGTGTATAGTTTTCTGTACAGAAGTTAAAATAGGATTATCAAACTGAGTACCAGCACTGCACTGGAGGAAGGTGGGGGAAAAAAAGTTTTTAAATGCAAGTAATTGTCTTTTGCAAGCGGAAGTATCACTGAAGAGTGCATTTATTATCAGATCTAGTTGCTAAAATCACAAGGGGGGGGGGGAAATGAGAGAGAGGGGGAAACTAGATGTTCTGCATTTAGCGGTACATGACTAAATAAAGAGAAAATAAAGGTTTATCAAGTCCAGGAAGAGGTGACTGTCCAAGATTTGTGTCTGGAACACCAGGGTAGCTGAGGCATGTGATTGCAGTTGTACCACGGGTTACCTTCCCTTGATTTTATTTATGTCCTGTATGTAGAGTCATGCCATCTACAGTCGTGGCAGGTCCTGTCCTTACTATTTCATGCCTTTGACATTGAAATGGCTGAATCATTGTTAAATTTTTTTTTAACAAAATTTTTATTTTGTTGGTTTCAGTCACTGATTGATCCTTTTTTCACTTCCTTTTTTCCCTTGTCTCTCTGTGCTTCGCTGGACATGGCCCATAGGGGAGTTCTCAGGTGTGTATCTCCTCTGCTCAGTTTCCTTTCTTGTTTCTTTTTTCCTTGCTGAGGTCGAATGACGTGGTATACACGTGTGATACTCCCCTGCTCTTGTCCAAACATGGTTGGCTTTGCAGACTTCTCCCACTTTCGCCTCGCTGGTTGCCTTGCACCGGTGGGTCCCTGGGCAGCAGGACATGCTCGCTCCGTGGGCACACGCCTGCTGCGTTTCAATACGCTTTTCTTGTGTGGCTTTCTGCAGGTTTGCTCCACTACGTTACACTGGCCTTCACTCAAAGTCTTGGGGCTCAAAGTGCTTTTTTTTCTGTCAGGATGGGTGCTGTGCTTGGAGCAGAGCCCGGGTGGGCACGGGACTGAGTTAGGCTCCCACTCTCCTCAGCACACCGTGCTGTTCAGAATCCCTCTGTGCATGGTAGCTGCTGTGGGTTAGTTGGTGCGTACTGGCCTTCTTCTGGAATAACTGTAGTGACATTAAAAACACTTTCTTGATGGGTTAGAGTGGCAAAGCCTCTGTCTTTCTTTGAAGCTTTGCCTTTCTGGCAGGAGTTTAAGTGATAGCTCTGTCTTTTGTTTTGGTGAAGGAGACTCACTGCCTTAGGGCCATCAGAGGGTTGCACCTTTCCATAACATGCACTTGGGCCCTGATGCAGTTTCATATGAAGTCAAGGGGATCTCTCTTGATTTCAGTGCAAATTGGATGAAGTTTTCCCTGTAGTAAGGGCAGGTGACTTACACAGTATGATAGCATAATGCTGTGTGATGATGAGCTCTGTCGCATTCCTTTCCCCAGCACCTCCTGGTGTTAGCTCTGTGAGGCTACAAAAGAAAGGAATGGCGTCATCCTTTCTTTTAGTTCAAACTGTTTTTACTGTAAGCCATTTTTTTATGGTCCTTTCCCAGAAAATGTCCCGCAGAAGCTGAGTTGGAATTTGTCACAGTGTGAGGGTGGATTTGGGCCTGTGCAAAAAGGCCAGATGAGAGCTTTGATGTCCACCCCCCTCTGTTGTTTTTCCTCCTGCCCCTGTCCTTCCCTCAACCTACTCATAATGTCTGTTGAACTACCTTTGTTGTGGGGATGGGAAACCCGAAATGTATAGTTCAGGGGAAATGATGAAGATGGAAGAAACAGATGAGCTCATCCCGAGCTTGTCCCAACGTCTCAGGTGGGAGTCCTTGCTAGGCTAGGCTGCAACAGAATGAGGTGTAGATTAGTTACTACTGAGCATCACTACTGAGCATCACATATGCTGGCACCACACACAGATGTACACATGCTGATGAGCTGCTCTGTTTGCTATTTACAGACTGGTACTTAATGGCTGCTTTTTTTCTCTTCCTTTCTTCCCCTTTGTCCCCATCTCTTTCTGTTCCCTTTCTCGTATGGGATGGCTCTCATAGTACGGGATGATTTCTTTGGTAAGGCGAAGGCCTTTTTTCTTTTCTTTTTTTTTTTTCTTTCTTTTTTTTCTAATACGCTTTTTTTTTTTTTAATTTCTTTCATTCACTCAACATCCCTCCATATGTCTTGCATTCCCTTGGTTTGTTTTTTTTGTGATGATGTTATCACCTCTCCAAGAAGCAGGACGCAGCTGGTCAGTAGTGGTGGTTTGGGGATTCTCCTTTGTTTCTTGTAGTTGATTATCCACTTTGATGCTTCACACTATTTGCCTGGCTATAGGAGGGGGACAGTGTAGGATGGGCTCTATTACACAGGGCTCTGTCTAGACCTCTCTTTCCTTCGCTCCATGCCACAAAGGGGTGAAAAGATCACATTTTAGTCACTTCACAGTGGTTTGTTTTTTTTTCCCATGAGCAGGGCTTTCCCATTACAGCCTGCATAAGGTAATCTCGTAGTGTCAATTCTGTGGCTCTGGGATGGCTTCATCCATTTCTTTATTGCAAGACTAGCCCTTCAGACCTCTCGCTGGTTAAAGCACTGTGCTGTGACTGTGTCACACACAAATAAGCTAGAAGCTGTGGTGAGGATACTGATGGTGGGGATGCTGCTCTGGTATGATAGCTCCCTGTCTTCACCAGAGTTCCTTTCTCTCCTGAAAACAGCCACAGTGAGTGATAGACGACTCAAGAATAGGAAGGAAAAAGATTTAGTCCAAAAAACCTGGGCATGAACTATTTCCCTTGATGTCCCTCAGCACCTGTAACGTCCTTGTGCCATTTTAATGTCTTACTGGCTAAATATTTATTTGGTCATTTGTAGAATCACTAAAAAGGAACAAGAAAATAATTTAATAAACCAATGTCTTCTTGGTCTGCTGATCAACATACGGCATGCCTCAAAAGAAAGGGCTATAGGTCATGCACCTTATCAAACCAAAAATACACTTCAGTTTACACTGCAGTTAGTGTCTCTCACTTTTTTGCTGTTTGCAATTTTCTTTGACACAGCATCCAAAGAACACATTGCCTGAAACATCAAAGTGATTATCTGTCTACTAATTTTTCAAAAGTTATTTGAAAATGCTGCTTCTTACTCATTTTTGCTGGGATTTTGCTTTTGCCATCATAAATTCATCCCATTTAACTGTGGGAAGAGGATCTGTATGTTGGAGTGTTGTGATGTGTTCTCACTTCTTGTATGCTACCATGTTTCTCTAACTTCCATTTACTTCAAGTTTGTGTTGTTTTTATTTTATTGCAAATATTAATTAATCAGCAAATAACGGATCATGAAAACTGTTGATGTCTTTGCTATAAAGGAAGAGGTAGTTCAGAGGGCAGGACAAGGAGCACTTCAGCACAGACGCTGATGGTTGTGAGCCTTCTTCATGCTCTGGAACCTGTGGTGAGAAGTGAGCTGCAGCCCTTAGCACTGTCCCCTGACAGGGAGAGGTCTCTCTGCCTTCAGTTCTCAGGTGGTCTCTATTCCCCATTGTAAGACAGAAGCTGACTTGGGAGCCAGCAATTCCCTGGCAGCAGGAAACAATCCAGATGTGCTTTTGGTCCCAAAATTCCTTTCCGTTTGGTTTTATGAAATACAGAATTTGACCATTACTCTTAGCCCCAGATTTTTCAAAGTGTTTGCAACTCAGTCTGCATGTTGCAATCATCGTACGTTGATGCTGAAGTGCAAGTGCGATGTGTCTGGTGTAGATGTCTCTTGAGTGTGCGTCTTAAATGATGGGACTGAGACTTCAGATTTTAAACATCTGTGAGAGAGTTGTTAAAGGTAGGTAGAGCAATGGACAATCTAAAGTCCTGTTAACATTGCTCTGATGGAAGGATGATAATGGGAGGCCTTTCTTGTGCATGAAACTGGTCACAATCATGATCCCAAATCTGTACTGAGAGACAGAAAATCTGGCTTATATTAAGAAAGAAAGAAAACCACTGATGTGCAGATCTGGACAGCAAACTGGACAGTGTTCTGCTGTCCTCTGTGAAAAACCTATGAACTTCTACCTTCTGTCTCTATGAGTGATAATAAAAAATGGTTGCAATAGCTCATAGGTGAACCAGGAGTTACTGACTTGATTTCCCCTAACTGACACTAGTGAAACTGTCCTCTCTGTCCTCCTCAAGGGAGTCTGTGAAAGTTGGAATAAGAAGCTAGGTCTGCATTTGGGCTCTTTACAGAAGGACACATGGATGTCTGCTTGTGCTGCATGGTCTTTCAGCAAAAGACACTCCACTCTCCACAGCAGGACACAGAAGCCTAGGGAAGCCTAACAAAAGTGATTTCTCTCCTCAAGCATGAGTCAGGCAGTGCCACACAAGCTTTATATTTCTAGGAAAGCAGGTGAAAGCTGCCTGACCTTTCTTTTCAGGAATGGGCAAAGAAGTGGGGAATCTGCTGTTGGAGAACTCGCAGCTACTGGAGACCAAGTAAGGAACTGTTGCGTGCTCTGAACTGCCTGCCTAGTTATAAATGAGAAGTCACCCCGAAGTAGATCTTGGCCAGAACTCTTGCTTCACAGGGGCTTGCTCATTTACTGACAGGTTCTCCTGAATGCTTGTTGTTCCTTCAGTTGTAGAAGAGGAATTGCTCTTCTGAGCGACTTTCCTAGCTATTTCCTTTCTGCAGGCATTTGGGTGAAGTCTCCAGGCATGTGCTGGTAGGGTCTGATCCCAACTGAAATCAGTGGCAAGCTTTTAATTAACTTCAGTAGGAATCTAGATGCGGGTCTGAGCCTCTGTGAGGATATTGCTTTTTATAAGGTTTTATTTGCAAGGTTTGCTATTTGGAAAGAAAGTTTTCTTACTATTGAGATGAGTTTTTAAAGATTTAGTAGTTGATAAAGGAGAAACAGACAGTGCAATGGACTTGCTTTATGAGAAAGGCTCGCAAACTGGGTACTAAAGCTAAGCAGCCAGGAAGACAAAGGCAAAGTACTCCCCGGGGAGAGTTGGAGAACTTACTGTGATAGGAAGCTGCTGATTTCAACGACTGTAAGATATTTCGGAGCTGATTGGAAATGGTTATTTATATCACTGTCATCCACAATTATCCACAATTACAGATAACAGCAGTTCTGAAAGATATGTTTCAGATCTTCATTCTGTTACAAATAGATTTGAACCTTATGCAGGTGATAGGTTACCGTAAGTAGTATTCTGCCATCTTAAGGAGATGTTGGTCTGTCAGTTAGGATACAGGACTGGGTAAACCTCATCCTGACCAATTTTGGTAGTTTCTGTGTTCTTCAGCTCCTTCTTGCCAAAATCTGCTTTTCCATGAGTTATAGCTGGACTGAATTGTTTAAATACACTCGTTTCAACTCTCCTTGTAGTGCCTGTGACTTTAGTTTCAGGTCTCTCTTATGGACAGCTGCTGGGTTTGGGTGTTTTTGTTCATTGTCCCTTTCACACCTTTAAGAAATGCTTTGAACGTTGTGAAGAATGATTTGATTGCCAAGGTGGACCAGCTGTCTGGAGAGCAAGAAGTGCTGAAGGGAGAGCTTGAAGCAACAAAGCAGGCCAAAGCCAAAATGGAAACCAGAGTCAAAGAGCTGGAGGAGGAGCTGAAAAGGTGAGTGATTCACACCCTGCCCCACAGAGCTGGAGGATATGAGTGATAAACCCACTTCCTCTGTTAGTTTAACTCTGTTTCCCTCATGGGAGTTACATTGGAATGCAAAGGTACCTTACAGAACACTTCAAGGCTGGTGGTAGGTGGCTGAGATATTTTTAGTGTTACATTGTTTTTATTAGATTTAAATGGATTATTGAACCTTAGAAAACCTGCAGAATTTTCCTCCCCAGGACTAGGATTCTGCAGCAACAACTGCAAATCCAGGCTCCTTGAAGTGAAGCATTCAGAGGTTCAATTTGCAATTTGAAAATAAAAAAGGGTGAATTTCAAAACTAACAGTTTTGAAGGAAACTATCAAGAGCTAGATCCTAGCAGCAGCCAAGACAGCTCTGAGAGGAATGAATGCCCATTCATTTAATGAAAGCTAATACAGATTCCCACAAACAATATTTAAGTGCCAGTATTGTTAATTGTTTCATTGTTCATGTTAAGAATGAGAAGAGACAGAAGAGATTTCAAAGTCCTATGCAGGTAGCATTTGGAGAGATCCCACTTCTTATTTTCCACTCAAACTAGAGAAACTGAAGCCTGAATGCCTAGCAAAGCCTGTGACAATTTCAAATCTGTAGAACTAGAGGTGGCCCACAAGGCCCAAAGCAACATAATTACATTTTGACTAGCTGCACATTACACTGTGGTATCTCAGTTCAGAGGACAGTGCTTATTTTGCAGCTGGAATCTGGAAGATTGCCTCTGTAGTCTGAGCACAGAATCACCAAGAATAACACAGACTGGTCTCTTTGTTGTTCAGAATGGCTGAAATGAAAGTGGTCTCACAAGGAGTGGAAATAGGTCTGATTTTTTAAAATGCCTTTTGAGTGTCTCATAATATTTATAATATATTATGCCTTAGGGACATGGACTTTTAACTGGCAAGTGTGCCTTTTCAGCAGATGGACACAGCATTTTTTTTCCATAGTGCCTTTGCTGTTAATAAAAATGCTTGTTATTCAAATGGGACTGCATGACTGCATCTTGGTATGGAGTGTAAAGAAATTAAAAGCACTCGGTTAAATACTTTTAAGTGTTATGTTAACATGCATTTTGTGTTCTCTTCTTTACCCTTGTGGCTAACTGTCCTTCATGTTAGAGGCTTTTTTCACTGCATTGAAAATAGAAGCAGTCCAGAAGAAGAACTTAAGCCAACGTTTTCACTGCTGATAATGGCTCAGTTTTCCCATGGTTAAGATCTCATCAAACATTTCAACAGGGATTATGGCTCTGAAATAGAAATTTTCTGGTCCATTCCAGTGATCGGTATTTTGGTGCTTACATCAAATGTTTCAAAGAAATGGGGTGATGTCAGTGAAGCTGGTTGGAGTAACATGCTGCAAGAGAGAGGGAAAAATACCAGAAAAGCATCTCATAACTTGGAAATGTAGCTTGCAGTTTGAAAATGATTCCTTGTGATGCATGCAGACAGACCTTCCCATAGATGGGTCTCCTCTCAAAACACCTCAGGGCCAGCCATGGTGTCACTTTCTGGTTTGATGCCTTTCTTCCTGTTTCCTAGAGTGAAATCTGAAGCGATTGTTGCCCGACGAGAACCCAAAGAGGAGGTGGAGGATGTAAGCAGCTATCTCTGTACAGAATTGGTATATTACATTACTAAAATGCCTGCGGGGAAAGGGGTTTTATATACTTACTTTATATTACTTCATATATATGAGTCCCGAAATGCAGATTGATCTGCCTTTGTTAATGATGAGGGCAACGCTGGTGAACTGCAGGTTGTTGCTGATGAACATTGCTAATAGACAGATGCTGTGAGATTACCTCTTCATATGACTTTCGAACCACAGTTCGGCAAAGACGAGCAGCTGACACAGTGGCAACACCATGCATGATGTGGTTTCTGCAGGACAGTGCTAGAGCAGCGCCCTGCTCAGCACTTTCTTGTTTTAGGTTCTCCCCAATTCTCAATTACAGTCTGGTGTGCAGTGTGGTTTCTCTTGGGGTCTTGCAATAGTCAGGTTTCTCCAGAGGAGCTTGTTTGTCTGTTGGCAGTGAAGCTGTAAGCCGTGATAACATTGTGCAGTGAAATCCAGGTTATGCAGACAGCTTTGCAGCAGGAACTGCCTTCTTTTAGTAGTTCTGTAGTTTAAATCTTGTGGTGTTGCTTTTATCATTATTTCTTTTACATAAGCCTGTACTGCCCGTTACATGGTACAGGCAGAGAAGGCTGATGGACTGTTTTTCAATGGCAGCTGCTCAGACTGTTTTGGCTGAGGTAGAGGCTTTTCAGCAAAGACCAAATGTAGCCAAAAGAAAGGCAAACTAAAGTGGTAACAGAGATTTTCCCTGTAAATGTCACTCTGCTAGGAACAGGGAATTAGATACAATTCTTTTCAATATTACTGTGTTCTTACTTTGTAAAAGGTATTGGAGCGGGTTCAGTTCTAGCCTAATTCTCTTGACTGAACTGCTGTGAATTGATCTGGTCAGAATTTAGATTGATAGGAAAATTTTCAAGTTGTGATTGTGAAATGCTGAAGAGGACTGGATTTCTTTTAAGCTGAACTGACAGGAAGTCTGTTTTTTTTTAATAAAAATAAAAGTTTGTAAAATTCCTTTTCATTTATACACTTCTTGTTTTGACTGGTCATACAATTTTATTCCAAGTCCAGGGAGGCTGGGGAGGGCCTTGGTTAATTTGTGCTATTCCAGCTCTCAGCAGTACTCACCAGCCAGGCTGAGCTCGGGAATTGCCACAGTCTAGGCACAACCCAGTGCCACTTCCTAGTAATGAATTCCCCTATCCTACAGTTTCGTTTTGGGCAGATACTTTCCCCGACTTCACTATGTTGTTCTCATTTTCCACTCCTCAAAAGAGACATAGAGAATCTCATTCCTGTTGCCTCCTAACCCAGAGCTGCATGTGCCCTCACTGGAAGGCCGAGTTATATCACCAAAGAGGAAAACGCCTTGCTTTAGTTTCTTCTGCCCTACACCTTTATCAGTGTGCACTAACAGAACGCCTCCTTCCTAGTCCTCTTGAGGGCACAGGTGTCATTATGTGGTGCTCCTTTTTGCTTGTGACTGGATGTGCTCATGAACTAAAACTTTGGTTTCCAAACTTTCTGGACCAATGGACCACTGTCAACTCTCATAATTCCTTGCAGACTATCAAAGCACCTTACTGGCAATAGTCTTTGGGTGGGGTTTTCAGTTTGGTGGTGGTTCTAATTCTAATTTCCATGGGTTTGCTGAAAAACCCAGAGGTCCATGGACCATAGTTTAGAGATCACTTGTTTATAATTAGCACCTCATACAGCGGTGACCAAACAGAACAGGAGGAGAACTAACAAACACGTCTTTCTGTCTCCTGACTTGCCCTGTACTAACATCAATCCCCTTCCATCTTTTGTTGGCTGAAGCAGTGCTCCTCCCCCCTGCAGGACAACATTCCCATAGCTCAGCGCCGCCGCTTCACCCGTGTGGAAATGGCCCGGGTTCTGATGGAGCGCAATCAGTACAAAGAGAGGTTGATGGAGCTCCAGGAGGCTGTCAGGTGGACAGAGATGATCAGGTGAGTCTGGATGTTGGGGAATATTCTGTCTGTCTCATGGACAGAACTTGGCCATGTTGGACCTTGTGGTCAGTGGAACCCCTACCAAGATATGGGTTAAGTGCTGGAAGTTTTCCAAACTGTAGATGCTTCTCTCCTAATACCTAATTCTTTCTCTTATTCCTGAACCTAGGCTGCAAATATTGAGTTGCCATCATTATTTGGAGACACTGGGCAGGTGTTTGTCTTGCTTGTTTCTTGTGTGCTAATTAAGCTAGGAGAAGCTGTAGGGAAGAGGGTTGCTTCTAATTAATGAATACTAAAGGCTATGGCTTGAAATGAATATAATGCTGGGGTTTGTATTTACCAGACTAGTACTGTGGCAATGATAATGTTGCAGGGAGCTGATAAAACTTTGAATTGAACACACTTACTTGCACTTCACATCATTGAAACATAAAGTGGTTAGGTGTGCTTACATTAAAGACCAGTGCATGTCACCTCCACTGTTGTGTTTTGCAACATGCTACAATGAATTCTGAATTTTCACATGGCTTCCTTGATGGAAATGGCCTGCTGGTTGGCAGAAACTTGGGTAAGAGATGCTGAAATTAACCTGCTTCTGCTGTGTTTGTCCTTAGAGCTTCCCGTGAGCACCCATCCGTCCAGGAGAAGAAGAAATCCACCATTTGGCAGTTGTAAGTTCTTTGGTGATTTGTGTGAGATTAAGAAAAGGGGAAGCGTTGCCATGTTTGCTGTGAACAGCAACTTAATAGACTCTGACATTAATGAAAGGTCAAGTGAAAGTGTTGTTAGCTGAATCCTTTTGCCTTCGAAGGCTGTCCTTAGTGAAATTAAAATCAGATCTGCATCTGCATCTGCAGAAATGCATCCACATTGGTTTTGTTTACAGGCTGAAAAAGATCACAAGTATCCTGGAATAGAGACATACATTCACAGTTTTAATAAAGGGCTGTTTTCAGTAGCTGTCTGTTTCTGGAAGCTAAAAACACCTAATGTCAATCAAACTTGAGCACTTAGCTCTATGTTTGAAGTAGGGCAGTTTTCATGAAGGGCTTACAGCCCCTGATTGTGTACCTCTTGCTTCTACTGCTGTGAATCTGTGGTGTGTTGTCTCCCCAGGCACCTTGTCTCTTTTTTATTGGGCTTTGTCTGTCCCTAGCTTCAGCCGTCTGTTCAGCTCTTCCTCAAGTCCTCCACCAGCAAAGAGGACCTACCCATCTGTGAACATCCACTACAAGTCTCCAACAACAGCAGGGTTCAGCCAGCGTCGCAGTCACACCATGTGCCAGATCTCCTCTGGCAGCCGCACCCTGGAGTTCTTCCCTGACGAGTGAGTCGTGTGCTGTGTGGCAAGCCAAGTCACCCTGCAGCTCTCCCAAATAGCTTTTCTTAAAATAAGCTGTTCTCTGCTTTGAACAAAGTCTGTGTGTTGTTAATATGTTTCTGTCTCTTGTGGTTTATCTCCCTGATCTTTCACTCATCAGTTGCCACGTGGATGGCAAGAAACTTTGTCCTTCCAAACATATCGCTGCTGTGGCTTTCTGGGCCATGATGGTCCCTCTCAGCAGGGACCACTGTAGGCCTGAGTTGGCCTCAACCCTAATTCTGCACTTGTGTTCGCAGACTGCATGGTAGAATGAAGTAGGGCTTTTGTGGTAGAGTGTGATGGCAGCATTGGGGCAGTGGGATGGAATGTCTTGCCCAGCCCTGTTGACAAGGCATTTAGGTGAAGACAAAAGTTCTCTCAATAGCACTTGTAGGTTACGATATTTGGTTTTACTCTTAACCATGCTGAAAAAGAGCATCGGAGTGTTGCTACTGCAGAGTCTTTTCCCTGTTCTTTAAGTTTCTGGCATGAAGGGAGAAAACTCTCCTGTATTTTACTTGACTTCAAAATATGTGTGTTCGACCATTACAAGGTTGTACAGTTTCATATGTCGTAATGTTTTTGTGGAAAGGCTTTGGAGAATGTGATGGTAAAGCATTGTAAATTCTGCAAGAAGAAAGACTTGTTGGAAAGGCACTGGATCAGGAGAAGAGAGATGGTCTTTAGAAGGGTAGATTTGTATTTTATAGATACCCACTGCCTTTATTCTGTTCTTTTTATCTGATTACAATGTCGTAGTCATTGTGTGGTGTCCGAGTGCTTTTCAGCAGTGCATTAAACAATGTGACTAACCACTGTCAGAAGCTGTTTGTTCTCTCATCCTCTCCCCAGGGAAGGAAGCATGTGCAGTGAAGTGTTTTGTTTTATCAGGGGTTGTTTTTGTTTGAAGTGTATATGTCATTATGTGTGTGTAGGGGTCTTTGTTTTGGATTGGGTTTTTTGCTGATGTTGTTTGTACCTAGGAAGAATACTTTAAAAACCTATTGAGAGCTGGAACTGATATTCAAACAGCCTTTTTTTATATTAAAACATATCTTAAGAGCTCGCAGATCAATTTTTCTTTTAACCTTTGCCAGTGCAAAGCTGGAGGTGTTCTGTTGAAACCAGCAGTTTCAACAGCAGTTAGCACATATTTTCCTTGTCAGCAGAGAAAGCTTTAAAATGGACAGAAAAACAAATAGTTGGCTATAATGAAGAGGGGAACAACTCAAAATGCCTTCCTGATGGAGACATTAGATCAGTAAATTGTAACAGCTAAGCAAAAATTGCTGTAATCTCATAGATTTGTAGGGCTTATGGAAGGTTGATTCCCTGTTTCTGAAGGGGTCTTGGAGCATTGAAGTGGAGATGGTAATGATTTGTCCTGCCAGATCGCTTAGGTAACAGGGAGTTAGAGAATAGGCATGCCAGTGTGTGCTGGCTTCACAGAGTTTTTCTCTCTCCAATTTCCTGCATCTGTTTTCAAAGATGGATTTAGTTTGCTTTCTGTTTCCTCCCCCTGCTATGGCGACACTCCTTTAACCTTCAGCTTCGATTTTTAACCATAGATTGAGAAGTGATGCTGTTGTTTCTCTCCTCAGTGACTGTACATCCTCAGCACGTCGTGAGCAGAAGCGGGAGCAGTACCGCCAGGTCCGGGAGCATGTGCGGAATGATGATGGGCGATTGCAGGCCTGCGGCTGGAGCCTCCCTGCCAAGTACAAGCAGGTAGGGACCACTCTCCGGACAGGCTGAGGGGACATCTTCCCTCACAGTGAAACAAGTGAAGGCCTGACTCTCCCACTGGTAACCTTAGCCTTACTCCTTAAATATTTCATTTAGAGGTATCATATGCATGTTTTATTTGTATAATAATTGTAGGCACAGGTGAAATTAATCTTTTCTGTATCTCCACCAACGTCAATTGAAGGGGCATTCCTCTGCATGAAGGTGCTGAAAGAACCTACCCTCAACCAAAAGTAATTAAACTTTGTCCAGAGACCTGTACTTGTTTCCTTTGTTATTATAATTAGGCTTGAACATTAGATATTTCATTTATACTCTGAGAACTTTACCAATCATTTAATATAAAAAACGAATGTGGTGCAGTTTGCTCCCAATTTTCCCTGTCAGTAACACAAAATCAAATGTCATCAGCCTCATTTGTTGGCCTGTGACTCATTTAACTGGTCAAAGACCACCTGGAAGGAAGGAGTCTTGCAGTGTGGTGTGAAAGTGGATGAGTTTCAGGCCATGATGGAAAGGTACACCAGTGTTCTGACGGCTCTGCAAGGAGCATCTGTTAACTACCCTTTCTCCGTCAGCTGTGCAGCGTATAGCCTCTGTTGACCATAGCTGTGGCACTGTATCACGGTGAGAGAGGCAGTCTCTCGGGTAGGCTGCTCCCATCCCTGTAGGGACTCTGTTTCATACAAGATGTGAGATGAAGCCTCAACAGCACCTGTCTCTGAGGCTAATAAGTCAGGTTCTACCATATTGGTTACATCTCTCTCACCATAGCCTGGTGTTTACAGCTTTGTACTGTCTTTTTCATCTTCTTTTCCCCCACAGCTGAGTCCCAATGGTGGTCAGGAAGACACTCGCATGAAAAACGTCCCCGTTCCTGTATATTGTCGCCCACTAGTAGAGAAGGACCCGACCATGAAGGTACATTGTTGCTGCATACCATTGCAGTCCAGAAAGGGGACACGGAATAAGCAAAGAATTTTGGTCACTAGAAGTGCAATTTTTACAACAATCTGTGTGTTTTTTACATTATATATTCCAATTTCTATCCTCCGTTTCCTTTATTTGAATGGTGGTTTCTAGTGTATGTAGGGGAAAGTACCTCTCTCTGTAAGGATGTAATTCTTGGCTGATTCTGTTTGCCAGGTCCCATGTTTCTGTCTGACATCTCATGCTTTTTTGAGACGACTCTTATATAATACCAGCAACGTTTTATGCTTATAAGGGTTTTGCTAAGACTCCTTAGGGTATAATATAAAATAATATAAAAATTCATTAAAACAAGCAGGTGAAAGTAAAAATGCATTTCATCACTCTTTTTTAGATTCCACTGTTGACTGGGATTCACTGGTAACAGGCCAGAATTATCTAGAGTAGGCTTTTGTGGAGCTGTGTCTGTCAATACTGGAATATTTTGAGGAGAATTGCGGTTGAGAATAGATGGTCATCTCTGCACGTAGCACATTTATCTGCTATAACTAGCTGTTTTGTAATAGTCAGTTTGTCATTAACTTCATTCAGAGCTCATTTTTAGATGTCATTCTGATGTTTAAGTTGTAAGAAAATTCTTATGCTGTTAGTTGCTTCTAGAAGATTGGTGTGATCCTCGGATAATATTCTGTTCATCATCTTTCCTTTATGATTTGGATAAATCCAGTATTTGTTTCTGTAGTTCTTTTCTCAGCATTCTTCTAAAAAACTATCTGGAAATAGCTCATAGGAGGTTAGCTAAATTTTATTTCAGAAAATACGCAGTGTGCTTCTTTCCCTTACACTTGTTATGTAGGGAGCTAAACCAGCAGATTTTTCTTTCCTTTTCCTTTTTTTTTCTTTACTTCATTTTTTTGGTGTCATAGTTCTTTAAATAGCTCTCTAAGATCAGACCGACACTGATTTTTGGGCAAAGAAGTGTGTGAGGAAGCAGAAGAGTGCAAGAGGTGGGAGGAGGACTAGGGAACAGGAGTGAACTGAATGTGTATCCTCAGCCAAGCAGTCACTGTCAATCTTAGCTAAGCAGTCATGCATATTGTACCTGAGCTAATAACATCTGCCATGTCCTGTTTGTTTTGCTACAATGACTTAGGAACACCAGAGTCGGAAAAACTGAGGACATTTCAGAAGCCTGTTTTCAGTTATGCACCTGATTTATTACCTTTATTTCCTTTAAATCTGTTAGGCACATCTGATAAGAAAACAGTGATTTTTGCTAGGTTGCAGGGAAGCTTTATCTTACCTCGATCAAATCTGACTATGTCTCCTAGTAAAAATCAGCAAGATCTGTTGTTTCCAACTACATATTTTAGGTGTTTGATATGTGTCCCCAGTTCTCTACAAAGGTGCCTGAATTTAATGAGACCCTGGAGCCTCCAGAGTTCTTAGTTTAAGATTCCTGTTCCTGTTACTTAGCTGTGGTGTGCAGCTGGTGTCAATCTCACGGGATGGAGACCTGTGGAGCAGGAGCCTGGGAATGGGCAGAAGTTGGATCCTGGACGTGATCCGCTTACCTGTGATCGGGAAGTGGAAGGCGAGAACAACAAAAGTAACCATACATCGCCTGAAAAGAAAAAGGTCAGAAAAGTAAATGTGGGTTTTTTTTTTCTTGCGCTGGTGTATTTTCTCATTCCAGTTCCTGACATGCCCCCTCTCTCAATGTCTTTGTACTATGCTATATAATGCTCTAACTTCTACTTCTGAGGCATCGTCGTGTGGGGCAGGGTTGTGGTGTTCTGGCTCTTCAGTAACTTTCTGTGTGATTTGGGATAAATCATCCAGGATAAAATTGTCCAACTTCTGCTTTTGAAATGTTTGGAATTTTGAAAAAAATTAATAATATTAAGGGTAATTAAGTGCTTGATCAAGTTGCTAGGAAGATTATGGAGTCCTCGTCACTGTAAATTAAATAATAAATAACTTCTGGCAAAGCTTTGTTAAAAATAATGCAGACATAGCAGAGTTCATGAGTCCATTTGGTTCAGAAGTTGAAGCTCTTGACGTTCATTCCAGCTCTGTTTTTTAAGTCTTAACTGTGATTTTATTTTTAAGAACCAAGCTGTAATTCGCAGATAATAATACAATGTTTAATCCTTTCTGGTTTGTGGGGTTTTTTTCCACAGCTGTCTTATGCTGCTCCCCTATAGTCTTCTGAGATCGGCTTGCTTGAACTTTGAGTTGAGTGCAGCCCAGCTCCATGGTATTCTGTCTAAAGTGAATGTTCAGTGATACATTAGTCAGATATCTCAGAAGAGAAATCAGTTGCCAAACTCCTCTTGCCCTAAGGAGCCAGATAGGCTCTTTGGCCAGTGTGCCAGATACTAGTGCGGCAACATCAATGAAATTTGCATAGCTCATATTGTTTATTTGCATCAGCTAGGAAGAGACTTGGCTCTTTGAAGCCGGCATTGTGGAATTTGCATGTGTAAATGTTGCCAGGCACTAATATGCTCAGTCTGATCTGAGAGGAGCACTGAATCTGCCCATGTGTTTTCTCTCCTGAAGGCAAAGGACCTCCATGAAATGGATGCCACATCCAGTCGTGTCTGGATCCTCACTAGCACGCTGTCAACAAGTAAAGTTGTAATTATTGATGCCAATCAGCCTGGCACAGTGGTGGACCAGTTCACTGTCTGCAATGCTCATGTGCTCTGCATCTCCAGCATCCCTGGTAAGTGGGGCCCAGGCATTGGCTGTGATTTGCACAGGGTCACCTGCTCCGCTGAGGAGTGACAGATGTAGCATCCTCACATCAGAACTAACCCTTGGACCCTGCTGCATTCTGTAATTGCCCCTCAAAGCCATAACTCAGATCTTGCCTTCTTGTAGGGTCTTTCCGTGGAGATCCCCCACTGCTGAACAGTTAGTAAGTTGTTCCTTTGGTGCATAAAGGATCATTCCTGGGAGCAAGAGTGAGCCTTGCCCAGGTTTGGGAGGGCTCTGTAGCTGGCCTGGATGTTGATGCTGGGGATGAGGGGATTTGCCATGATGTTGACTGATGCTGTGGTGTCTCCCCAGGGTAGTGAGCCCTGAGGGTCAGTATCTTCCATCCATATGGTTACCTCAGGAGTACTGCTACATTTAAATTAGCAGTGACAGCTAGATTTATGGGAGAATCTGTTCTTTGCCCTTCAGCGGCCAGTGAGAGCGATTATCCTCCAGGCGAGATCTTTCTGGAGGGAGATGTAAATCCTGATGAGTCATCTGGAACAGATGGTGTCTTGGCAGGAATCACTCTGGTGGGCTGTGCAACCCGCTGCAATGTGCCACGAAGCAACTGTTCCTCGCGTGGTGACACACCTGTGCTGGACAAGGGACAGAGTGAGTTTTGGGACATAAAACTTAATGGCAGTCCAATTATAGCTAGTCCTCTAAGAGCTTATGGTCTTACAGCTGCATCCTCCTGTCCCTGAGTTAACGAATTCAGAGGCCTCAAGAAGTTTCTTAATATGGTGCAGGAAGATCAAAGGCTCTTTTGGTCCGTTTCTCTTTAGAGCACTCCTTCTCTCTCTGAGTGATCCACATCCTGCAGCCTGGTTGCGAGGGTCATATAGCAGAGTATTTTGGACAGGTGATATGTTTGCCCTGCTACCATTGCTTCTGTTCTCATTGCTTTCTCCTCTGAACCATGTCTTCTTGTGAAGTCAGGTATGAAAACCATAATGGTGCCCTTGCTCACTCCACACTTCAGTGGGCAGCCCTGGAGAACTTGGGATGTTTTGCTCATCACAGATTATGCCTCACTTTAAAATAGCCTCTGTTCCCCATCCAAGCAGAAAACACTGGATGAGCTGCTGTCTGTGGTGCAGGCTCAGGGCTTTATTGAATTTAGCAAGGAAGGGTAAATTAAAAAATCGACAGCCTGATTTCTGTATAGCTAACTTACCAGGCTCATTCTCCAGTATGTCTCACACAGTTCTTTGTCTTTTAGGTGAAGTGTCTGCTGTCTGCAATGGGAAGATCAACCAGTCCCAGTCTACTGAGGAGGCAACAGAAGCTACGGAGGTACCAGAGAATGGCACAAGCGAGGCAGAGCCTGCTCAGGCCCGGCCTGGGCCCCTCACGGAGCACGTGTTTACAGACCCAGTCCCTGCACAGGCACCTCTTAGGCAGAATGGGTAGGCAGTCTGGGGCCAAAGTGCCAGTTCGGTTATATATCAGCTCTGTTTTCATAAGCTTTTTGATAAGAGAACCAGCCTGTTCTTCTGATAAAGTGTCAAGCTTCTTTCAGTTTTGTGCCCAAATAGTATTACAGGTGGGACAATAGGGAGAGAAAGAAATTAAATGAAAATAAACATGGTTCACCCTGCAGCAGACTGTGTCAGCTGAGTGCAAATATTTGATCTCTCAGTATGAATTTAGACCTGCTGTTAAGACAGATCTTCCAAAGCACATGTGCACTTAATGTTCTTACTGAAGGAGCTTATTGATTCATGTATAAAAATGATGATTGATTTATTCTAGTAGTATGATTGATTTATTCTAGTAGTACCTCTAAAGTGCTGTAAAGATATAGAAGAAAGCATATTCACTACCCAAAAATTCTTAAGACAAATGACTTTGATGGGGTGGCCTAAGGAGCAAGGTGGAAGTCTTGGACAGAATTTCTTCCTAAATGACCAAGTCTAAGTTATTTCTGTGGAGGTTGGAAATGAATGGAGAAGATATTGTTTATATAATAGTACTGCTAAACACTAAAGTTCTATAGATTTGAAGTACTTGCTATTTGTATTGGTGGGGAAAAAGGTAGTTTTGCAAATTTCAGATTCAGGAATCAAGCAATGAAAGAACACTGAAGAGAAGGAAGCTATTTGTGTATACAAGTGCCCTTATCTGCTTGTGAATGCCAGACTGTGAGCATAGATGGGCATTCTGTGCATTGCCACTGCTAAAGTCTCTAACAATGTTCTTTTGCCTTTTTAGGGAGAATGGGCAGCTGAAAACCGAGTCAAGCACAACACTGCCAGATCAGGAGTTGAATGGGGATGCTGCTGGGACTTGCACCAGTGCTGCCCCCACCATGTGGCTGGGAGCACAGAATGGCTGGTAGGTTCCCCTTGGGCTGATAGATCTCTCTGTCACTTCCGTTCTCTGGGCTCCACTTTTCATGTCTCCACGGTTTTAGTTCACTTCTTGTTTCTGGAATAGTTTTTAATTGCTCATTGTTGTTCTGAGCCCTCAGCTCATCATAGGCACAGGGATTTAACATCATTTTCTTACCTACCCTCCACCTTTCCTATCAGAAGAAAAGACTCAAGCCTAGTCAGACTGAAGTTGTGGGGCCTTGCTGCTAACCCTTCTCGATTTATCCTTTCTCACAGGCTTTATGTGCACTCGGCTGTATCCAACTGGAAGAAGTGTCTGCACTCGATAAAGCTGAAGGACTCTGTGCTGAGTCTAGTGTAAGTGTGCATGCCAAGGGACACTGGAGGAAAAGATTCAGTGCCTAAGCGATACTTTAGGTGGGGTAGCAGCTCTTTGTCAGTCATCTTTTTCTTTGCTCTTCTAAGGGCATTGGTTTGTGAGGAGAGTTTCCAAAGGTTTTTGTTATTGGAAAGCCTCATACTGAGCCATTTTCTGCTCAACTACAGACCTGACCCAGTTCAGTGAGTAAGGTACTAGATGAGATGATTAACAGTATCAGGAGGAAATAAGTGGGGAGGAGAAAGGCAAAATTTCTGAAATGTAAATTAGGTGGAATTTGTTAAAATTGGTGGAGTTTGTAGCCTGAAGGAGAAGTTAACCTCAATAGGAAATTTATGGATGATCTTACTACAACAAAGGTAAGTTGTAGTAACTTCCTTTGCCCTTGCAGGATGTTCCTGCAAGTGCTAAACTGAATGGGAATCGTAGAGAGAACATAAAGATGGTGTGCATGGATGTCAGAAAGGATGTGTTAGTCCCTTACTTCTACAGATTTTTGTAAGTATTTACTTTTCTGTGATTTCAGGCATGTGAAGGGGAGGGTTCTTGTTGCTCTGGCAGATGGAACACTAGCCATATTCCACCGGGGAGAAGGTAAGAATCAACGTAATAAGAGAAAACCAAACTTAGCCGAAAATGTAGCAGTGGATCAAATGCTATTCTGAATCGAGAAGGAAAGGTGCTGGCTTGCCAGAGTACAGACATATGATTAAAATGCCTAGCTGTTATACATGTGTAATCTTTACCCGGAAACATCTAAGACATACGTCAACACCATTTCCTGAGCTTTTCTGAACAAAACCATGTGTGTATGTTCTGTGTAGCACATGCAAAGTAAATGCAACTTTTAGGAATATATATGCTGTGCATTTGTTTGAGGCGTGCTTGATAAGTTTAATGCGTTTGGGCCATGTTGGTGTTACTGTGCATTCGCAAATCAGCTGTAACCAGGCATGCACAGGGAGTTCCATACAGCTCAGGCTGTACCCGAGCAGATCATCTCTGCAGTTGTACATAGGCCTACTGCTTCCCAGAAAAGCTGGGCTCTGTGGAAGTAGTGGAATTGATCACTGCATACACAACAGGCAGAGCTGGGATTCTCTGGAATTCTGGAAATCCCAAATAAATGGAGCCATAGCATTACACTTGGTCAGTTTTTCTTGTTGCAAAAAAGATATCTGAGTAATCTAACATGCCTTAATACTGTCACTTCAAGATATTTTTTGAATTCTGTATTTCTTGTCGTGTTCACTGTTGTAGGTTTTGTTTCATTATGACTTGAGCAGTTCCTGAGCTGTGTTTCTATCTGAAAGCACATGAGAATTTGCTGTGACTAATTTTTGCATATGAAGAACTTAGTTATTCATTCAGTAGCTGGAATATGGAGATTTCTGGTTTTGTGCAATCTGAAGTTTAATTCAGCCTTTGTCGTGAGTTCAAGCCTGACCATTGACACATACAAATCATTCCCATCAGCAACAGGATAAAGCTTCCTGACATAGAGGCCACCTGTCTGTGAAGGACACAGTATCTGGGTGGTTAGTTAGAAAATAAATGTGAGAGATAGATTCCTTATGCTGGATTTGACACTTCAGGGAAATTATGTTGTCTGTCTGTGATACAAGGAAGCCTCACCACAAGGTCCTTCTCCTTTTAAGTTTCCACATAGTCTTGTTAGGCTTTCTTCTTTCTTCTTCCTCTGCTGTTTTTGTTGTACTTGTTAGACAAACCTGTTCACTTCATTATAATAAAAGGATGTTTAAATTAGCCTGATTTGGAGAGCTTTCAGCCCACCAAACTAAAGCTTATTGTCATGTGTTTCATAAGTATGAGACTGTGCCCAAAGTAGTATTACAGATTCATGGGAAGTTCACAGACATAAGCAAAATGAGCATTTGAGTATTAGCTAAGCCTGTACACCTAGAAATACATGGAAAGGTAGATGATTCTATTGTATACTGTCACGTCGTGAAGGAGAGGCAACTTTCCATGCTTGTTTTTCACCTTAGATGGTCAGTGGGATCTCAGCAATTACCACCTAATGGACCTCGGTCACACTCACCATTCCATCCGCTGCATGGCTGTTGTGTATGATAGAGTCTGGTGTGGCTACAAGAACAAAATCCATGTTATCCAGCCTAAGACAATGCAGATTGAGGTAAGAGAGCAAATGTGTGTTTATGCATGCACACGCTTGTGTTGTATTTATTCTTCTAGCTGTTTTCTACTGCAGTGTGTGGAAATGCAGGACCTTTGTACTGTCATTGCTGACTGCAGGACCTAAACTGTCAATCTTGGTCACGTTATGACGCAATCTGCCAGAGGAGTATTTATTCCTTCCTTCTTTTGCAGAGCTTAAATCTTTAGATCTAAACTGAGCGCTTCCTTTGCCTTTACTAGTGAGTCTATGAGGCCACATACTGTGTGCGTGCATGCTTTACAGCTACCCTTCATATATGGTCTAAGACTTCTTTCTCTGTAGGCATTTTGGCACAAAGGTACAGTTAGCAAGCCCCAGTGATCCCACTTGCCTAAGAAAAAGACAATGTTTAGAGCCTTTTGGTTCAATACAGTGATGTTCGTACAAACATATGTTTAGTGCTTGGAATAATTCTAATCAAAGGGAGAAGAAGTGGTGAATCTGAAGTTTACGTCAATGAGCCAAGGCAGTTTGATATTTGGAATTTATACTGGAGTTGTGTGTTCTCCTTTTCTACCAAGTGCATTGAAAGCTCTTGGTTTCTAAATGTTCTTGCTTCTGAAGTGGTCAGCAAAGATTGTAATCTCTGCAGAGCTGCTATACAACTCATAATTTGAAGTGAGGGATTTTCTCTATACTATAGTGAACTTCTGAGGTCAGCTGGCATTAACACATTTTCTTCAAGAGCTTTGAAACCCAAACAAGTGATCTCAGTTGAGGAAGATGGAGTATATGTGTAGATGGTTGCAAACCTTTTGTGAACTCACATTGGTCTACCTATTTGGCATTTCAGAAATCCTTTGATGCCCACCCTCGGCGGGAGAGTCAGGTGCGACAGCTGGCATGGATTGGAGATGGAGTGTGGGTTTCTATCCGCCTGGACTCCACTCTGAGGCTTTACCATGCCCACAGCCATCAACATCTGCAAGATGTCGACATTGAGCCTTATGTCAGCAAGATGCTAGGTGAGGCAGTAGGGACTGTCAGTAAGTGGTCTGTTGCTTACTGAGATCAGAGAGAAAGCAAAATTCATTAGCAGACCTGGCCCAAAGTCATAACTGACTCTCCAATTATGCATGCTTACTAGGCACTGGAAAGCTGGGCTTCTCATTCGTTCGGATTACAGCCCTGCTCATTGCTGGCAACCGCCTCTGGGTAGGAACGGGGAACGGTGTCGTCATCTCCATTCCATTGACTGAGAGTAAGTGATGTTTATTGGAGATAATTCTGTGTCCCCCTCCCCCAAAAAAGAATGCTTTTGTGTGTTATTAGTGCACCGTGGTGGGTGGCTCTGGCATGCTAATTCTTTCTGGACATTTTTACTCTGAACCTGATGCACCTTTGATCATAGCAGTGTTCAGAGAGAAGAGCCCTGAGTGTGAGCAACCCTGAACTTGGTTTAGCTCTTTCTTATTAAGGAATTAAGTGTTCAGTTGAATGGATTTAACCTGTTTAAAACCAAATAGGTATTTGTTAATATCCCTTTCAGTTCAGTTGAAGCCATTTCCTTCTTGGGGGACCCATGACATCTCTACCATCCGTACAGTCTTCTGTTTTGAGCATGACCTTGACAGAGCAAACTGATGTGAACTGATTCTGTAGCTACTGGAAAACAGGAGAAACAAAGCTTTGGGAATTGTAGTAAGTCTCCAAAAGGAGGCCGTGGGATGAGAAGTCATCAGGAAGATCTCCCTGGAAATTTTGTTTGGGCATAGACATCTAAACATCTCCATAACAGTATTTTCCAGAAAATGACCTTAGAAAAGCTTCATTTACTCCAATTAGGGCTCAGCTTTATCAGGCAAGTAGAAATCAGTATCCTACGGCAAATTGCAGTTGCTTTCAACAGAAAGCAGCCAAATGAACATTTTCTCACCACTGCTAGCAAGAAATCTGAGAAGCAAATAGCTCATGTATAACAGGAGCAAACCTGTTGTAATCCTGCTGGAAGTCAGGGCTGAGATGGTCTCCTCTAAGGCTAGTGGAGCTGGATATGCCTGACATCAGGAAGCCAGTGACACAGTTGTCTTTGTGCATTGCAGTCTCGATCTCATTTCTGAATCCCTGATTTAAAGCCCATTCTTTCTTGGGGCTGCTGTCCTAATTCAGAGTTAAGCTTGTTCCCTGCTGTAAACCAGCTGCATTATCTTTTGGTGTTTCTGTAAAAATGTGGTAAGTAGTAAGGTCTCACTAGAAGCTTTAGCAATGGATCCTTGTGACCATGGTCCCTCTCCCATCTCAGATATTACCTTTGTCCTTGTAAGGTAAGAGCCAAGTGAGCAGGAACAGTGTTGGTATAAACCGATCTGAGCGTGTAGCTCCTGTTGCAGTTTCTTTAGGTTTTACAGGCTTTTGTTGCTCCCTTAATTTTCTCCCAGTAATCACCTTTTTCTTCTCTCCCGTCCTGCCTGTCTCTTCCTGTGCCCCTCTGTTCCCACTCCTTGCCTGTGCCTAGCTGTAGTCCTCCACCGAGGCCAACTCCTTGGGCTCCGGGGTAAGTTCGTTGCCTCCTTCCCTCTGCTTTCACTCCTTTTTCACCCATTCACCTTTGCAGTCAGTTTCCCACCCTTCCATCCTGCTGTTCAGCTCTCTCCAACCATTTTTTCTCATCACTCTAAGTTGCATCTGAGAAAAGCGACCAGAGACAGGAATGTAAATACCCTCATTTCCCATGGCTAAAAACATTTTCATCCATCTCATCAGCCATCCCTCTGTTTTTTGTGTGTCAAGAGTACTTTATTCTTCATCAGTAGTTCCCTTATTGTGTTAGGCCAGGTTTGAGATGGGGACTGTAAAGGTTCATTCAGTCAGAGAGTTCCAGAAAGCAGGAGCAGACTATTCTTCCAAGGTCTTCCTTGATCATCCTCCGTTTTCCAAGGATGCTTCTCTCATCAGTTCCAGGCCAATGGCAGTAGGTGCTTTGGCACCTGCCATCTGCAAGTGATCACCCAAGACTTTTAACCAGAGGGGACTTTGATAAACATTAAGAATTGTTTGGGTTTGTGCCAATTAAGGCAGGGTTTGGGTTCAAAGTTATGCTTGCCTTAGCCTTTCCAAGGTCAGAAAGCAGTATTTTTTTTCTCGTTGTAAGGTATTTCTGTGGCTGTCTGGAAGCATTATCAACTTATGTCTCCTCCTTTTAAAGCATCTGATATTGTTGCAGTAAGAGGCCAGATATTGAGCGAGAAGAAGTGCTAGTACCAGCCCCATCTGTCAATCAGATGACCTCATCCAGTTTTAGCTGCTCACAGCAAAGCAAAGCACAGAGGTGCAGAGAGCCTTCATCTTGTGGATCCTTCCCCCTGCACACACTGATTCTCATTTTTCTGTAAAAATATTAGTACTTGTCGTGCCATCCTGGCTTAAGCCTGATAGGTATAAGTCTCCTTTGTCCAAGTAATTTTATAATTGAAATCCAGTCCAAGCCAAAATACAGAACTACAGATAATTAAGCAAGCAATTCAGTTCTCTCGCAGAAAGTGAAAGACTTCTGATTTTAGTACTGTTTCTGTTTTACTGCTGTGGATGCACGCGGAAGGAAAGCATCTCCCATCCTGAGCTCTGAGCACTGGTCGCTCTTCATTGGTGAGTGGAAGGATTTGCATTCTCGGAGCCTGGACATGATGGATGCTGGCCCCTGTGCCCACCTTGAAATTCTTGGAAGCTGTGGATGGTGAACATCTTTCAGATGTTTATTGCTTGAGTAGCTGATCTTCTGGTGTCACAGCTAAATCAAGGGCTCAGGAAGGATCTTGCTCCACTGCTGTGCCATTTACTGAGCTTAGAGCCTGCACCAGACCCAGTGACTGCTTTCAGCAGACTGTGTGCTCATGGCTTGGCATGAGGAAAGGACTTGGCTTGGAAACTGAGAAACTTCACCAATCCAGAAAATAGCAGTAATTCTCCTCCAGGTGCCCTAAATATTTTAGGGTGCAGGGGACACCTTTGAATACCCTGCCAGATACAAAAGACTGATCCTAGGACTGTAGGTCATTTCTGGAGGCTGGACAGGACTGCTGCTGGTGAAAAGGCCCTCACTGGGACACCTCAGAGACCTTGTCTAGCTTGCCCTAGGGTCACTCTTGGCCAGCACCTCCAGGGATGTGTGCCTCATTTAGCACAAATACTAGTAGTAGCCAAATTCTAGATTTGATGAGAAAATGTAGTTTGTGATCATGAGTGGATTGTTACCAGCCTAAGAGAAGAGGGACTGTATAGTCTAGTGTGGTCTCCTCCATCACGCCCTTTACACAAGACTTGCACCTTTAGAGGTTTTTCTTCAGGGCTCATGAGTTTTCTCTTTGATTGAGTCCCTCCTGTAAATGGGACTCAAAGCCGTTGCTGACAATATTCCTCCTCCCTGTCCCCAGCCAACAAGACCTCACCAACCTCTGGAGAGGGCAGCCGCTCTGGCGGGGTCATCCACGTGTACGGTGATGACAACAGTGACAAATCTGCCAGCAGTTTCATCCCCTACTGCTCCATGGCTCAGGCACAGCTCTGTTTCCACGGCCACCGTGATGCTGTCAAGTTCTTCGTCTCTGTGCCTGGTAAGGATGAGCACAGCCCTTCCTTGTGAGAGTTTTGTGCCACCGCCCATTCTGCGGCAGGAGCTTGAGCTGATCTGCAGCAGACAGCTGTCTGTGCCATTTCCAGCGCTTGCAGATCACTGTGGCTCAGACATCAGTAGTTTAAACTGCAGTGACTTCCAGATTTCTCCAGCAGAAGAAACTGGCCTGCCCAATTGTGTGTGTGTTTGTGTGTGTTAACCACATGGGGGCTGAGCAGAGGCACTGACAGCACTGCTGTCCTCTCCCAGGCAATGTCCTAGCAACCCTGAATGGGAGTGTGTTGGACAGCCCTTCAGAGAACCCCAGCACAGCGGCCACAGAGACCGAGGGGCAGAAGCTGAAGAACGTCCTGGTGCTGAGTGGAGGAGAAGGGTACATCGATTTCCGGATCGGTGAGTGCCTGTGGTGGGAAGGCATCTGGAACGAGACAGGGTGCAGGGCTGTGGTGGTGGAGAGAGGGTTCACTGCTGTGAAAAGCACTGCTCTGTTTCTCCTGCCTCTGGCTGTGAGGGCAGATAGCCAGCGTTCTCCTTGCACAGCACAAGGCTGCCAAATCCTGCTGCTGCCTGTGCCTGCAGTGCACGCAGTCTGCGTTAATGGCCCTGGAAAGAATAAAACCACTTGTGCTGCTCCCTCCAAACATTGCTGCCCTGCTGTGGTCACCTGTGCTGCTCGAGGTTGCTCCGCGTTGTAAACACAGGCTTTCCTGAAAGGAGGGGTGGTTTTCCTTACTGCTGGAGATGGTTTGTTCCATCTGTACAGTCCTGCTTCAGAAATGCACCATGTTGCTATAAATGTTCTCCAGGCATCAAAGAAGGTCTCAGCTCATGCTGTCTGTTGTCAGACTGCTGAGACTGTAGCAGGGATATTGGCCTCTTTGGAAGTATTCCAGAGCAGTGAAATTTGCCTTTTTTTACTCTGTTTTCTCTCTTCAGGGGATGGAGAAGATGATGAGACAGAGGAGAATGCAGGAGATGCCACCCAGGTCAAGCCAGTACTTTCCAAGGCTGAAAGGAGCCACATTATTGTGTGGCAGGTATCATATATCCCGGAGTGAGAGTTTCTCCTTTCCCACCAATGTAAGTGTCCCTCCTCCTGCCTGAATGCCAAGATGTACATACAGAACGCCTGCATTATACCTACTGCTGGAAACCGACCCCAGACAACTGCAATGGCTCCTGCCTTGGACTGTGACCCCCTTCTAACCTCTGAACTTGCAGCTTTCATCTTGGGCCTGTGCGCTTTCTGCGTGGTTGGATTATTGTTCTGCTCTGGAGCTGGCATCTAGAAGGAGAGAAATGGCAGTGCATTGATGAAGTGGAGCTTGGAGCTAGAACTGTGCAAAGCCTTTGCCCAGTGCTTGGGAGCTGGCAGCTGGATGGGTGGTGGCTCGTGTTCTCCAGCAGGTTTCCTCACTCCCACCTGCATGAGAAAGAAGGACATCTCCCTGGCGTCCCCCATCAAAGCAGTGATTGGTGAACCACAACTTTTACAGCACCCTAGCAGAAATCCTTTCTCGTTCACCAGTGGACACCCCAACTTATCCACCCTTAAGCACAGAATAATGTCCCACGGACTGAGAGCAGCCAGGTCCAAGGAACCCTCAATAGCAAGGAGTGCTAGGGTTTGGGCAGCACTTCTGCTGTTTGGCTGGGGAAGGCAGCAGTGCCATTACTGTGGGGAACACACTGTCCATACTTGCAGATGGAAAGTCTCCCTCCTCTGCTGCTGTTGTTGTCTCAGCAGTCGTGTGCTGGGTGACTGTATGTGTCCAGAGAGGATTGTTTGGTAACATCAGGTAGGAGACGGGTGTTTGATCGCGAGGGCCACAGGGCCTTTGGAAACTGTGGTAGCAAAGGGGTACTAGAACCTTGCATTTTTAAGAGCAGAATAGGCAGCAATACTTTTAACTCCTCCTACCAAAAATGCCAGGCAGAAAGGAACTGTTCAGTTCATTCTGAAATTTTCAGGAGAAAGCTATCTCTGCATAGCATTTGTTGGCTTTTAAAACACAGGTGAGGGCAGATGGTGTTGGTCTGCTGTGAATTCTGCATTAGCACATTGAGATTACCAGGACTCATAAGGCTGTGTTCCCCATGCCGGGGAATGCTGGAAGGAGATGGCTGTTTTCCATCACGCTGCAGCTGTCGGTTAGGAAAGACTGTGTAGGTGCGGTCAAGGTATAGGAAGGCTGTGGCTCGCCTGAAGTCACACAGAAAAAGGAACTGAGGCCAGATCTCCCGACCTCTTTTACCTAACATCATGAACACTGACTTTGTTACTAAGTAATCTGAGAAGCTGGAAATTTCTGACTCCCAAAAAGAATCGACAACCCCCCAGAAAAATTCTGACAGCCCTCCTTGTGTAAGCAGTGCTGGGGGATTGCAAATGTATGTCCTGCTTACAAGAGAAGCAGCGAAAAATGGGGCCAGTGAGAGCAGTTTTGAGCTCCAGATGCAGAACATGGCAGCTCCAGATGCAGAGGCAATGGTTTGTCCTTCCCTTCTGACAGCCAGAAACAGTCCTGTCTCCTCAAGAAGTAGTTCTGTTTCCTTTGAGCACTGCCTCCTGGACATGCAGGACTAGAGCAAGCAGCAGTTGTGAACAATGAATTTAGAAGCTCCTGGTGGTCATCTTATCTCTTCCCTGAGCTGTGCATCACTGCGTTCCAGTGCGGCTGGACGAGGACAGCTGGGGGAAGCTTCCATCTCCTGGAAGGCTCCCAGCTTGTCCCCACCGACCAGGCTGCCCCCAAGGCCTGTAGTCTAAAGCTGCCCATGTGCTGCAGGGATTTGGTATTCCCAGGGGAAGCTCTAACGCGGCATCTGTCCTGATGCAGTGGCACTGAGATGATTTTTGGATCCGCAGTTCAGAAGAGGCTGGGGCATACATTTCCCATGCAGGGGGGCAAGAGGACATCTCTGAAGAAGAGAGGCCTCGGCCACCTAAGCATGGAGCCGCAGCGGTGCCCACGCTCCCTGTCAGCACTGCTGGTGGCACACGCACCCGCACCACTCTTCACCGAGCTGGGAAACCAGCTGGATGGTGTCCTCCAGCCGTGGGGCACACGGGGCTCTGTGGCCAGCATTTGGCTGAGGGGTGCTTGCAGCTGCCACCGGCATGTGCGGGGACCTCTGACCAGGGACATTTCACTGTGGCACTGCTGACCATACCAGGCTTCCCGTTCACTTTCCCAAAATGCTTTCTGCTAGGAAGAGCTCTTTGGATCACAATACAGAGTGCATTAAAGTTAACAAGATCAACATTTAGACCACAGATTCCACAGACATGTAACAGTTCATCAGTTAGGGCCAGGTAAACTTTCTAATTTGGTCTAACTGATAAAATAAAAAAAAAAAAAAGCCCTAGCAGGCCCAGTTCCTTAGCTCTGTTGACTCTTCTGTAGAAAAATACAGAATTGCAACGTTCTTACCTCTTACTGTTTGTTCTGTATCTGGTTTTAGCAGTCGCAGTGACAGTGCTCAGTCTCCTGTCACCCGCTGGGCCCTGGCAACATAAGGAAACCGGTCCCGGGCCTCTACCAACAGGTTCCTTTCCAGCTCAGTGCATGTTTTCCTCTGAGAAGCACATGTCCAAGAGTGGCAGGGGCAGCAGAGAAGGAGAACACCTCTGAGAAGCACATGTCCAAGAGTGGCAGCTACAGCTAAGTAGAGCCAGTGTCTGCTGTCAGCTCCTGTAGGCGTTTGGTGGCTGCTGGGCTGCAAGGTGAGAACTGACTGGCTTCAACACACTTCCCTGTCATATCTCCACTGTGATGTATGTAAAGTATCTTGTATGTTACAAAAGGATTTTAAAAAGTGTCTTAAGGCCTGTAAACTCCGCTATTTGGTCTGAAGATGGCATTCTGTAAAGAGACTGCTGTATGAATACGTTCCCATGCTTTGTCCCCTATGCTATCAAACAACAAACCATATCTGTTCTGTATGTAATAAATGTGTTAACATCAGCCAGTGCAGGGCATCTCGTTCCTATAGAGGCACTGGGATTTCTGCAAAGTCTTTAATAACAGCAAGACACTTAAAAGGGTGGGAACGGGAGCTCAAGTGTTCACCGTTGAGCAATTCAGTGGCAAGAAATGAGATGTGGATTGCTCACTGGCTCAGAGCAGAAGGGGCTGGTCCTGCAAGCTGCAGTGCACTGTGTAGCTTCTCCCAGCATCAGAAATGAAAGGCGGGAAAGACAACTGTTGCAGCTGCCCTTGTGGTGTCACGTTCAGGTGAGCTGCCAGGGTTAACACATCAGGCTCAGCTGTCATCACTCAGTTTTCCAATGTCCCCTGTCAATACAGGGTGGTGCTTCACAAAGTCCCACAGGAATCAGTGATGTTCAGCACTGAAGGAAGCAAGTTCCTCTTAGTCCCAGCAGCACTTAGACATGTTTGTATTTATTTTGTAGAATTGCATTAATTCAAGGGCTGTACATAGCAATAATGGACAAGTGAGCCACCTCCTTACATGAGGAGCAGCTTCTGCCCTGAGCAGGGGTCCATGAGGTGAGTCACCTCCGTGACTGACACCTGTGCTGTGGTCCTGTGCAGGCCAGGGTGAAGTACAACAGCCAGTGCCTCCTGGGTTGATAGCAGTGAGGTTTGGGAACAGGCTCTGGGACCGTCCCGCACCCCTCAATACGGCTGGGAGAAGTTTTGAGCAAGGCACTGGGTGAAGTGCAGCTGTGTCTGGCACCCACCTGGGCGGCTGAGGAAGGGGCTTACTACTGTCATCCTTCAGACAACAGCCCCAGTGCTGCTGAACGATCCAGGAGGTTACTGCAGAGGTTTGAGAGTCCTGGCAGAGCTCCCAGCATGTTATAGGCATTGACTCTGACACATGGCAAACTGGGGCTGTGCAGCTTTCCAGAAGGGGACCTTCACAACTGGACAAGGCTCTCAGCTGCCCAGGGCTCTGTGTGAAGACTCCTCCATCAAGCGTGAAGGCCCTGAGGTCACCAGCAGGCCATGATTGTCCTGACCAGCCCCACCTGGGCCCCCCACCTATCCATGGTCCCTCTCTACCCATGGCCCACAAGCCTCATTTAAGCACCAGGTGTGGCCCTCAGTCTTTGCCTGAGCAGTGCCTATCTCCAGCTGCTCCTAGATGGCCACCTTGGACTTCGGGGGTTTGGACTAGATGATCTTCCAAGATCCCTTCCCACCCAAGCCATTGTATGATTCTGTGCCTCACAGTGTATTTTCTCCACCTGCTTTTGCTCTGGCTGGGCTCCCTGAGTGGACCCTGGTCGTGAGTCATTTCTTGCCTTGTCTAGGGCTGTTGGTGGCCCCTGCTAACAGCACTTGGGTCTGCCCACTGTGCTCAGACTCTGTGGGCCTGGGAGGGCACTGCCTGTTGCTGGGGCTGTGTTCTGCTCCTGGCTGTGCAGGACAGATAAGTTGATACTGTTCCACTTGTCTCATTTAACTCACATCTGCACCTCCTTTCCCACCTCACTTGTCCTCAGCTGGTGTGTTGGTTCAGCCGCACCTCAATCACAGTAAGGCACCAGGTCAGCCCAGCACCTGTCAGCAGAGGCTATGGAAAGCAGAGAAGCTGTTTTCCATCAGCAGTAGCGAGAAGTCCCATAGCCTCACAGTTTGTGCCTTTGCAAGACTCCAGATTTTCCCTGTCCTGGACCCTGCCATGGCTTCCGAAGCCAGTGAACCAGCCCTGGCACGTGTCCTGCAGCGCTCCTGCCCAGCTCTTCCCAGCCTTTGCACCTTGTCATAGGACCAGCTTTTAACTCATGAGAAAAACCTTCCCTCCTGTCCCACAGGAGCCTCCAGTGATGAACCCCAAGGATCTCTAGGTAGCCAAATCTGATCCATTTGCTCCTGCCTGATGAAAGCCTTCCTCTCACTAGCTGAGGCCACACGTGCCCCTGTCCCATCCAGGCCTGCCACGTGCACTGGACAGGGCAGGTGGTCCAGTTTTTGCCTTCCCTCAGTAAATCCCTTCAGACTACTTCTGATTTAAGGATGCTGCAGCAAATGGAACAGCACCTCTTGAATACCTACTGCAGCAGACAGAAGAACTAAATAGCTGTTTCTGCAAGGAGATGATCTGTAGGGTTACAGAGCTGAACAGCTCTTGTGCCCGCTCCACCCACACCCAGACTAGACCCTCCAACAGTTCCTGACACAGCAGCAGAATCCACAGCCAGTGCAAGAGAACATGAAATGATAAGAACTGTGCTATGGAGTTACATTTTTATAATGTTCACCACAACACGCTGCACTGGAACAGCTGGTAATTTGCCATTAGCCTCAAATACTAAGAGCCAATCCCGTGTCCTTTGCATCACTGGAATTAAAATGATTTCTCCTGTCTCCTGACAGCCATCTGCGGGAGCAAGAGATGGATAGCTTTGGATAAGCCTAATATCCAAAGTCACGTTGTGTTC